TAATGTCCTCCCTTAGAAACTGCAACTGTAGAAAAAGTACCAATGTGTCAGTTTCTCCGTGATTTAGTTCAATTTCATTTCAATCTTAGGCATTTTCCTCATGTTGAAAAGAAGCTCAAATCTCACAGGAGATCCGGTATATTAATTATGTGCTACACTTGAGATAATCGAGGGACATTACTTCTGACCAAAACCGACGTAGTTAAAATGTTTCTTATACACTCACTTTCGTTGAGAAAAACGGGCCAAAGCATTTGATGACCACATGCACTTTAACCAAGGCCTGTCAAAATTCTTATTAAACCACCACCACCATTAGTTGGAAAATGACCAATCGGCATTCGTTCGGGTACTGCCTCGATTTCGTGAGGACCCGTGGGTAGGAAAACAAAAGGTTGTTTTTATTTAGAAAATAACCTTGGGTAGGAAATTAGTTTAAAAAGTCTAAAGGGGGACCCAGGCTACTTGCTGCTCGTGTAATGATTTATTGCTCCATTCCCAGTTTCGTTTACGTTACAGTTTCACGGTAGAACCCTTTACCTACGAGTGCCAAACGCTCTTGGATTACTTCAACATCATGCCGGGCTTGCGAGGCGGACATTTTTCCACCCAAACCCTTATCAGAAATATTGGCACGGGAGATTTTTTTAAGCTTGTTTCTAGCTGATTGCGAGATTTGAGCTCACTCGCTTCGTTCAAGGTAAGCGTTTGTTTCTCTTAGGTTGTTCATTATTTATTTACTTCGACTTGGACCCAAACAGGATTGTGGAGAACCGTTGCTAGATTAAGTATAATCGATCATTATTGAATCAGGGGATTTATTCATTTGGGGAATAATTGTGAGTTTTATTTGAAGTTTTACGTAAACGTTTGGAAATGCATACAGGAGAATATTTTGTATTATTTTGGGAAAATTTAATTTGAATTCATTTAAACAAAGTTTTGATGGTTGTTAAGGGAAAGTTAAATCAACATTTCCTTAGCCAACTTTATTATTACTTCCGTCTTATCTTCTCAGTGTCATACTGGAATAGTTAAGGTAGAAGATGGAGGACACTGAACCGTATGGTAAGTTGCAAAAGAAGACTCGCTGTGGGAAATCGCTAGTATCAATAAACATAAAAAATACGCAAAACTGAAATTGTACATGGACATCACCGAGTAAATATGAATAAAAATACATTGTAGGAAAAGGTACTTAATTTATTTAAATATTTATACGAGGGAAAATTAAAGTATGGAAAGCTACAATTCAGATAATCTATTTTCCGTATTTCATTAGTAGAATGGATTTCATTTTTGCAGCTCAAAATAAAAGAATAATTTACACGAAGTAACAAAAATGAATCACATTGGCGCAAAGAAAATAGTGCATATTTTGCATTTTTGGGGTTTTTGTGCATATTTAAGATAGATTAGCATTTTATTAACTTTTTTAACCATTTTATTACAAAACAAGCTTCCAGGGGTAGTAATTGCAACAATTATATTTTTATTTATAAATTATAAAGATGAACGAATAATAAATCAAATAAACTAAAAATTATAAAATAGAAACGGAACAAAAGAAAACAATAAAAATAGAATAAGAAAAAAAGAATAAAAAAATAAATGAAATACAAAAAAAATATGGCGCCCAAGTTTGTCAAATTATAAAACGTCAGCGGTGTTCAATTCAGCATTAATT